TAAACAGAGTTTGCTCTTCCCCTGCTGAATGGAAGTGAATGAGGCTTTGCGATCGCGATTATTTTTTTATTTTTTATTTTTTTCTCGGAAGGGCAACTTGAGTCAGGAAAGGCAAACGGGCAGTTGCCCGGGCAACCAGAGCAACCCCCCTGTGCACGTCCCTGGTTATACGGCTCCCAACTGACCAGCAACTAAAGATGCTTTTTGCTCATATGAACCTCCAAATGAAGTTAAAGATGATTAATGTTCTCCATTCCTAGAAAATGTACAAGCTCTCCTTACTCTGTCCTCTTCTCATCTCACTTTTCCACTAATAACATTTTCTTCACTATCTTCCTCTATTTCCCAAGCTCACTAATCTGATTGTTCTTTCTATGATTGTGCTGTTATTGAGTTGTCTGTATCATACATATGTATAAGTCCACCACAATACTTATTCCATCTTCTGCTGCAATTTCCCCCAGCATCCTGCCAAACAAGGATATCATTCCTAAATGGAGGAAACACTAATTCCTTGTTGACACGTGTAAAGTTTTACTATGTAGGGAACTTTGCAGGTTGGGAGCCCCAAATAGCCACAAGAGGGAACCCATAGCATCCGCACAAGTCAAGTTTTCTCTGTCCTTTACTTTAAGTAATTTCGAGTGGGCTGAATAGGTTGAAAGTTATATTTTCCTGAGATGGTTTGTTAAAAGAGCTGTTAATTCATGTGTTAGTAGGAGAGTAGGAAGGTAAAGCCTTGGTGTTGTGTAGCTTCTTTACGGGAGCATGGCAGGTTACATCTATTTTTCCTGTAAAGTATATTAATACAAGTACGTTCATGGTGCACAGAGGATGATTCCTAATGACTTTTGGGATTCCCTTACTTTTCCTCTAGTAGCACCATGAGGTTCACTTTTGTGGTTTTGAGTGAAATGTCTCAACAAAAATATAGGATGGATTGCCATGTAATTTTGTATGTTCCGCTCAGGATGAATTGTAATAACTTTTGTCCCAGACTTTTTATATAGAGCCATCATGAACTTTTTATTTATCTAGCACTTTGGTTTGTGACAAAACAGTTGCAAAACTAATGACATTTCCATCAGCCTCAACTGTACTTTTATATATATAAATGTATAGTATGTATATATATATGTATATATGTATAGTGCTAATTAGCAAATGTTGGTGAACATAGTAAACATGCCTGCTAAACATCAGTATGTTAACAGTATCATTGTGACCATGTTAATATGCTGATGTTAGCATTTAGCTCACAGAGCCTCTAGTATTGGAGGAAAAGCATTCTTGAAGAACACATAATTCACACATAGCTTATATTCAGCATTTTTAAATTTAACATAAAGATCACACCAAAACCAGATGTCATATTAATGTCAAATCTATACAGAAATTAGCAGAGTGTAAAAGAAAATAAAGCTTTACCTGCTAATTTAGGCTTTCCCAGAATTACAGTAAATTTAGGTTAAAGTAACTGATGTAAATTAACCCTTTAACGCCTGAATTCTTTTAATAATAAAAAATAAAAAAAATTATTTGTGTTTTCATTTGCTTTCAAGCTGATGTTAAATTAAGGGAAGATTGTTAATTTGTCTATAGAACATAGAAAAGATATAAATTCAGGTATGTGTAGGTATGATGCAAATTAGCGACAACAGGCATAAATGAGAAACCAGGGCTTGCAAAAGGTTCCTAGCTACGTATCGAATATGCACCAACAGGCACTGGGGGAATCCATGTGCTATCTTGGCTTGCAGTCTGCAAGGAAGAGGTATGATGCGAATTCGCCGTCAAGGGGTTAAAGCCTAGCATGTATGACTAAAATGTGCTTTGGGTAATACCATCCTCCAAAAAGCTTATATCATAATATGTATTATTGTTATTCCTTGTGATAATGTTAGTGACCATATTTGATTTACTGTTCAAGTTCCTTTCAACTTTAACCTACAAGCCTCTCTAGTTGAGTTGCTCAGTGTGAAAATCTAATGTGTCTACTGGGTGTGTGTGTGTGTGTGTGTGTGTGTGTGTTTGCACCTGTGCGCACCTTGCTTCATCACCTCTTGATCACCCCGACAATATCCCTCTGGCTATTGCTCTACAAGTTACTTCTCACTGTGTTGTAACCTAACTGAAAAGAGGCTAAGGATGAAGAAAAGCATGAAGCTGTAGTTTTCAAGCATCTTTCGCTGGTTACGGCAGCCTGATATGACCTTATAGCAAACATCCGCTGTTTTGCAGAAAGTCTATAGCTTATAGATTTCATGTCAAGAGAAAAAATCTGATATTTCTTATAACAAATTCTCACCCTTTAAATGGATTTACTGTCAAGCACAAGAAATTTCATATTTATGCTAATAGAAAGTCCATCTATTTATTGGTTTCTCTTGGCATTTTATTACTTTCGTACCATAGAAGAAGCCCTCTCTCCATACTTATCTTTTTCCACTCAATCGATGTTTGTTAAAGCTGCTGACTTTACAGTTGCTTTTTCCCCCTCAGAAAGACTCACGCTGACCTCAGACCCCATCATACAATCATTTTTGAGCTTCATACAGTTGACCCTGAAGGTTAGGTTGCAGTTCATAGCGTGATGTTACTGCGGAAGATGGTTAAGGATTATGATGATGGTGCTAGTTCGAGCTCTGTGCCATCAGCAAGAGAAATGATTAGAACTGCACCAGCAGAGTGTTAGCCTGACAGATGGCAACACATGGAGTTAGCTGACAGCACTGCTGACAGCGCATTCATAGGAAGTCCCCATCTTGTATGCGCTGTACACACTGTTTGTTGCTGTCCGTATTCTGATGTTTTTCTGCCATCAACTGTAACTTTTTCCTACCCGTCACCACCAAAGTCAGCTTACATCACCAATTCACCAGCTTAAAAATCACAAGGCCACTACACAGGCCTCTTGTCATGGCACCAATAGGAGACGGGGTCTGTTAATGATCTTCAGTGGGTCATTATCCCAGTCACTGGTCATTTATCAACACCTTTCTTTTTTTGGCAATTCATTCCTCCAGTGGTCAATAAACTTTCAGTTATTTTACCCTCAGTCAATCTATTTAGAAATCACCTCTGAGGGCATGTTAATGAATGGCCAACCGACATAGATACATTAATTGAATGGCTGAATACATTAGGAGCTGTATTGAGCGCTAAACTGTTGCCTCTACGAATAGCAGTATGGAGTTATTATTAGGTTCGGTGATTGATGAAAGATGAGGAGAGCTTTGGCACAAACCTGTCGGTTCCACTGCCCTGGATAGGAATGAAGGGAGACAGAAACTGTCCTCGCATGAGTAGACACAAAGATCTGATCCTGTACTTGTTTTGAAATCGTGTTTTCATTTATATATTTTTTATTTTGTGGTTTGTTTATCTAGTAGGAGAATGGTTTTAAAACTCCATCCAAACGTGTCCTTGGGGGAAGCAAATGTAACCCCTCTGAACAGTTGTAATATTTCTCGTTGTCACTTCATGACAGCTTCAAGCTTGATGTTTGCACATGTGCGAATGTGTCTGTGTGCTCAAGTGTTAAAAAGTGCGTGCGTGTGTGTGTGTACATATATGCGTAAGGATGGGAGCATGGCAGTGATGTGATTGATGAGACATGAAAGAGAGCAGAGGAAGAGTTCTAGTCAATCAGCCCTGTGAATAACCAACTAGGCTGTGGATTAAAGGCAGAAAGCTGTCTGAACTAACAAAGGCTCACATCCATTACCTTACATGCCGAGTTGTTTTTCTCTCTGGAGCAACACTGACAACAAAATTAAAGTGTGTTAACAAAAATAGATGGTTTTGTTTTCTTGAATTCAAGAGATGAAACATGGCAACATGTAACAACTTGGAGGCTCGTAGAAATAAAAATCATATGAGGTAAAACGATCTCTGCAAAAGGGTGACCTGTACAACATGTAAGATTATGATAATGTGTGTAAACTGAAATGGGACATAATGGATTATCTTCTCCATATTAGGTTTTGCCTAGATTGTTGCAAGATTGGACTGGAATTAGTTTAAATTTGTAGATAAATTAGATTTGCTTAGAAGTAAAGAACCAAGAAGTGGTTGCAGGTTGTTGGTTCAACTCCTAGTAGTGAGAGTAGTGTATTCTGGCTTGAAAGGCAGCTGGTACAGTAATCCATCTACTGTATGGATTGCACTATTTTATGTTAAGTGCCCTTGAGCAAGGGGAAGAACCCTTTAACTGCTCCATGGATGTATGTATTAAGACGGATTTTAATCCCGAATTGGCGGAACCCGACTAGCCCAAATTTCCACCAGATCCCTTCACATTAATTTTCCGCCAGGTACCATCACCTGATAAATTTCCCAAACAATGAATAGTCATGGCAACATGGCTACTGTTAAAAAAAATCCATTTAATAAACTATGGCAAGCTTGTTTTAATATTATTGGAGTTGTATTTTACATGTTGTGACTGACTGTAGTCTTGACAAAGAATAGAAGTAATACATTTAGTTTGTGTTGAAAGGCCGATTAAAACTCAAAAACGACTTTGATAGTTTCAGTGAAGATTATAATTTGGGTTAAAATTAATACTTTGTTATGGTAAGGGGACCTTCATCGCCATGGTTACAATAATAAACACTTGGTTATGGTTAGGGAAGAATTGTGGTCATGGTTAAAAGAAACCAACGTTTACTGTCAGTAGGAAATAGGAAAGAAACAGCGATCTCCTGTGCCGATGTCTGATGTTTTGTTGACCCCTCCATGCACTCCATCCACCGCAACCTCCTCTATAACAATATCACACTTCCTGCTTTGCTCCAGATGAACAAGAGTCTTAACTCCTTCAGGCTCTGTCACCGGAACGTAAATATATGTTGTTTTTTGGCATTTGTAAAAATGATTGACGCTGTCGTCTTTCTTGGGAGGACAGTCTCCTGGAGAATGTGTGAAAATACAAAGTTAAAAGCCTTTGGGACTGTGTCAATAAAGTTTTCTTCTTCTTCTGTTTCCTTTTTCTGCAGGTCCAAGGGTTGGAGAAGCAAGTGGACTTCTCAGACCTGGGCCCAGTGGGGTCAGTGATGAAGACTCTTCCATATGGCATGGGTGAAGGCACAGTGGGTGGAACGTCAGGGGGAGTGGTGAAACCTCCATACCAAACACGTATCTTTTCCACTTCAATTGACCAGACACCCATGAAATCCAAGCCACCCACCTACAGTTTCTTTAACCCATATGACTCGGCCCGGAACCAGTCCCTGCTTCTGGACCAGACAGGCTACCGCTCTAAGCGCAAGCCCTCACTAAAGACCGCCATGAAGACTAAGAAGATCTTCGGCTGGGGAGACTTCTACTTTAACGTCAAGACCATGAAGTTCAGTTTGTTGGTGACAGGGAAGATTGTGGACCACATCAACGGGACGTTCACTGTTTACTTCCGCCACAACTCATCCAGCCTGGGTAACGTGTCGGTCAGTATTGTGCCTCCAACCAAAGTGGTGGAGTTTGAGGTCCTCCAGCAGCAGCAGCTGCACCCCCACACCCAGCAGGATGTCCAGATCCAGGAGACCCAGCAGTCCACTGTCGACCCCAAAGAGGCAAAGACCTTTAACTGTCGGGTGGAGTATGAGAAAACCAACAGATCCAAGAAGCCCAAACCCTGCCTGTACGATCCATCTCAAACCTGCTTCACAGAGCACACCCAGTCCCATGCTGCCTGGCTCTGTGCCAAACCCTTCAAGGTGATCTGCATCTTCATCTCTTTCTTTAGCATCGATTACAAGCTGGTTCAGAAAGTGTGTCCAGACTACAACTTCCAAAGTGAGCACCCTTACTTTGGATAAGTACGTGAGACTGAACTGAAAAGAGAAAAAATTAAGAGACAATGTTAATGACGATGATGACGATTATAACAATGATGATGGAAATGATAGTCATATTGATTATGATGAAGAAGCAGGGGACAGTTTTTTGCCTCTAAACTGCTGTGAATCATGGATTTAAAGTATAATCAGAATTATGGATGGTTAGGATATGGCTGATTTCTCTGACTTATTTTCCAACTTTGTATTTGTTAACTTCTGTTTTTATTTGATTTTCTTTTCTGTAAATAATGTACTTAACCTCAGCACACCTACTGTTTTTAGATATTTGTTTCTCAGTGTAATTACTTTTTGCATTTGGAGAATTCAGTTGAAAACAGCCGGAATCAGTATTATGCCCTCCGAGTACAAAGGGAGCCTCTGAGACGGCTGTGCCATCACTGTATGGCGGACGTAATGTTATGGTAGACTGACTGTTAATCATGCTCTCAGCTCTACGTTTCAAACCTGGATATGAGAGAGCTATATGTATGAGAAATGCTATGCTGGATATGCATACAATATACTGTATGAAAAAGCACATTAAAATCTCTTAAACTGTCTTGTCTTTTACTGGGTGAATGTTTTCCTTTAGAGCTAGAAGCACAATAGCAGGGCACAAGTTGTGCAGCATAATTCTAGCTATCTAACTCGGCAAGGACACTATAATGAACTAAGTTACATTTCACTCTGATTGGGAAGCTTTCTGTGAAGATATGTAATTTAAAATATATTGAAGGGAAGTTGGTTATGGATTCAATTATAACATGAAAACCAGCTGTGAAACATTCTTAAGATGATAATGTTGGGCTACTTTTGAGGGAGTTGGTACGTTGGTAAAATAATAGAATCCCTATCTGACATAATTTTTGATTACATTTACCCCGAAACTGAAAAGAAAAATAACTACTGTATGGGAGTTAATATGACTGACAGATTGTTTGATCATGCAAGCAAAGGAAGAATTGCACATCTGAGCAAACATGTTTCATTTGCATCCAAACCTCCAGGTGGCTTCCTCACATTCTATTGACTGCTGTATTACTGGTGCCACTGTTATAATCTCAGCTACCTAATAATATTTACTTTCTATCTTTTTGCCTAAAATATGAGCTTATGGAAAAAATGAAGCAAGGTAGCGTCACTATTGCTAAAAATATATTTATTCGTGCATCAAGATTAGAGGTTGAAACTGAACACATAAATCAACCCACCCACCTTTTCCTTGATTAAATTAAACAAGCACTCCCCGAACACCTCCGCTTTCTGACTATCTCACACTGTCTCTCTTCTTCCTTGGTCACAAACTACCCTTTTTACTCTTTCAGTGCAGAGTTGTTGTGTCTTTGCTCTCCACACTTTTGATCTGATGATAATGCCGCTCAGAATTTCATTAGAAAGCACACAGTCGATGCTAATTGAATCTTCACCTCACTCTGGCTCGATACCCTATTATGCTCTTGATCAATTACATTGAGATGGAGGTCCAGGGAGGTCCATGTATCTTACACAAGTTGCTGCGGACAGTCGGGACACACAGATTGATGGAGTCACAGCGACCCAGATTCTCTGGAGTTCCCCTCTTAGTTGCACAGATTCTCTACTGTGGTTTGGTGAAGAATCACTGGACTGGTCGTTTTGGACAGATACATACATTTGCGGTCATGTGATTGCGTGTTTGTGTGTATGTGACTCTGATTATCTTTATTTATGCCTGTGTGCGGTTGTTCAGAATTTCAACAAAAAAAAAACATTTAATAAACTATGAAAGAAAGTACACTATAGTAAAAGAATGTTTGTATTAAAGATTATAACAAGTCACAACAAAATAGCAGCACTTGACATATTGATCACGTATTTATGCAACAGTTTGTGCACCTAATAAGTGAAAATGGGTCAAAGATCGTTTTGGACAAACATCAGATTGCAGACGCCTTTGAATAAAAATTTAAGTTATTAGTAAATTTATGTAAACATTACGCTTCCCCAACCCCAACATGTAAATTCACTGGGATTACAGCTTTACACTGAGTGCACAATGCAACCAGTTTGAACAAACAAAATCAGACAAGCCACACTCATATCCATTTTTATTTAAAAAATTAAAGTCGCAGTGGCTTGAAAAGGCAAACACAGCACCAGAGGAACACAGGGAAAGCATTCAAATTCCCAAAGGAAGGAAGCACCAGGGGCTGAGGTACAAGCTGTGAACCTTCTTGCTGTGCAAGAAACTGACTAACAAAAGGTAGGCTACTCAATAACCTCCCCTACCTGCAAAGTTATTACAATAGAGTTGTCTATGAACAATTTATTACCTCTATTATCTGAACATGTCATCCACCACAAACAATTGCCTGTGTACTTTGCTACAGCATGCAAGACAAAGGTCTGCTGAAAATACTGTCTGTGTCTGACAACGGATGGAAGGAGTCGATATAGACAATGAATGAGTAAATGAATGACAGATCCAGTACTGCTTTAACGGCCTACGATTCCCATCAACCCATGCGGCAGGACAAGCGTAACCAGCCGTTGCTAACAACTCCGAACAGCCCTTTTGGAGCCTGTCAGCAGCGTGTCGCTTGGCTGTGCTGCTTCTTCCTCCGGCCTGAGACCTGGAAACATGTTCTTCGCTCTGAGACAACTCACACGGGTACGTGCATTATAAAGCCCCGTTGCTGTGTCAATGTTTCCTTGACGGTGTGTTTGAGTTGGGTAACTTAGCTAGCGGTTGTGTATGGTTGAACAGTTAGCTAGCTTAACGTCAGTGTGGTTCAGTAACGTTCGTGGGTGTTAAGTTGCCCACCTCCGCTTTAGCAGTATGTGCACTTGTCATCAAATGGAAGTATATTTGCAGCAGTTAGCCGCTAGCTACCTCTGCTGTCCTGTTCGCATTGCATTTTTGAAATCTTGTTTGCTAGCTGATAAGCTAGCAGGCTAGCTGTCAGTGCCTTAATGATGCAACAGCGACCGCTCAGTTTCATCATGTGGGAAAACTGAACGAAACAGCACCACTGATCATGTATATACGTATCACCAAATTTAACTAACTTACCTATCATGGAATATTTAGCTAACGTTACGCTTATTTGAAAAAGTGAAGCGCTACGTTACTTTGTAAAGTTATTTTATAGTGGATGAGCACTTTACACAATGTTAAAAAGATAAGCCAAAAGCCTCAGATATGATAACTCTGTGAAGATAATGCAAGGGAAGGTTAACGTTACAGACAATAAAATATTAACTAGAAATTAGTAGTCCACTAACGTTCAAAGTGCAAAACGAAGCTGGAGGTGCACCAAGCAAATATTAGTCTCATACCCCCATGGGTGGCTCTGTTGCCTTAACTTTTTTTAACTGAGGTGCACCAGGACACAGTTTAGGCTGGGCGGTATGGCCTAATATTCATATTGCGTGTCGAGGCGGCTTGTTGTTAATGACATAAACCATAAGGCTCCTTAGGGACAGGGGAGAGAGGTGTAAGGGTTACCTCCTGCGATGATGATGGACAGGTGGAACGGGCACCGCAGCGTTGGTTCATTGTTCATTCACGTCATTTTAACAGGGCTGACAATTTTTTGTCTGGCGAATACCAGTCTTAAAACTAAATGTACTCACCAGAGAAAGTGAACAGCCTACCCATAATACGCTTTTTCAACGGCGCTGGTTAAATTTACACGACGAGTCACTCTAGCTTGATTGACAGGTCGCCATGGTAACGATTTGTCAATCACAGATAATGAAGCATACTCTGCTTTACGGTCTATGTTCCTCCAAATGGGACCATAATTTACTAAATGAACATCATGTTCTAAGACCTGAAACTAGCGACTGAGACCACAAACTCATTAGGAAACTGTTTACTGAGGTAATAAATCAGGTGAGAAATAACCTAATTTTACCATTATTTCTAATGGAACCGGACTTCTTTTTGCAATCAGAAGAGTCGCCCCCTTCTGGCCGTTCAATAGAATGCAGGTTTTAAGGGACTTCCGCATTGGATTCCAGTGTTTACCCTGGGATGGAGTTGTAGCAGCGGAGGTGCAGCAAAAAAATTTTGGTGTACGTAGTATGTCTGAAAAGAAAAACACAACATGTCTCAGCAGTATTGCTCTTGTGTCCATGAGCATGCGATGCACATTAGATTAGTTAAAATTTCAGTGTTTTCCCATATGTTTTTGTGAGCTTTAGAGGAATGTTTTGGTGGTGGTCGTGTTAATCAGTGTCAGGGGTTTGGGGGTCCTTCCCCAAGAAAACTTTAAGTTTTCCAATGAAAAATATGTAATTCACATTGTATTGGGCCATCATTTTCACAAATATCTCTGAAAAAATAGTTGGAAAACCTAGAACAGATAATAAATAAACAACACCCAAAGATCAGTCTACTGGGGAGGAACTACAACCATTAGATTTGGGGAAATTAATTTGGTTGGATATGATGCTCTCCACAGTGATTTTACATTTATGGCACAGCATGTTTTGGGCATCACCACCTAAGCCTTAACGGCAGGAAATCCCTGTTAATATGACCTCAGAATCATTAAAGCTTTTGACATTCATCTGTATAGACATTAATATAAAGAAATAAGCAAAATGAGAAAACACTTCTCTTCTGAGGTGCATTTTATCTGCACATTAAAATCCTAAAAGAAATGTCTCCTCATTAGCGTAAAAGGACTAGTTTGCATCACTAATTTGCTTTACTAACCTCAGCTACTCCAGTCACCACTGTTCTTTCTTTTCCTAACAAGCACTTTTTCAGACTCATCTGAAAAAATGATTGAATCAGTCTATACAGAACAGATCTGTAGGCTAAACCACTTGAGTCTAAGTTTATACCTAATGTTCTCAACATTGGACAAGTACATAGTAATAAAATACAGCTACCAGTTAATTTGTATAAATTGAGCTAATGTTAAGTTACATAGCAGCCAAAAGACGAAACCCACTGTATAAGCTTTCCTGCTCAGCTGTGCAGTCTGAAGGGGAGGGGAGATGTTAGCTAACTTAGTGCAAACAGGCTTCACTTTTCCAGCAGTTGGGGAAACAACAAACACTTATTAAAACTAATGCTAAAACTCTAATATTTAGTCTACTCTTCTTGTTGATATACCTGGTTCAGACAAAATATTTCAAACACGTTCCAGTATAACGCAATACATTTCAATAGCAGCACAAACTGCATTCACCAAAATTACTATAAAATTGAATCAGTACCTCTTGAAACCAGTTCGAACAAAATCTGAACATTATTATCTTCAAGTATTTATTGCAGGGTTGTTGTATTAGACTGCATTAGTTTTACATAACCTAATAGACTGGGAACCGAGTGTAAATCCTAATATTTTACTACATAAAATACATACATAAATGCAGGAGAAAAACACGTCATAACCAGCACTTTACAATACTGTGTAATGAAGACCATAACAACACTACAAATCCTCAAATATCTCCTTATACTTTAATGAACGCCTTTTTGTTGCAGTGTTAATAATTTAACTTAACATTATATGGTTCACAAAGTGTGCTTAAGTACAGGACTGCATTACAATGTACAGTGGACAATATTATCCCTGTAAGTTATCATGTTTTTGAAATCTTATTCCCTGTTAGAGTAATTGTAGCCCCCTTAATACAATCATTTAGTTTGACAAATTAGTTTCCCAGTGGTCACGTCAAAGTTAAATAAAGTTTCTTAATCTGACAGTTTTGTATTAAACAAGTTGTTTGATTAGTTGAGACCTTTTATACAGCCTATGGTTGAGACATCAGGGTGATGGCGGTGTTGGGGGGAAGGGGAGTTTTTTGAGGGCTAATAATAGCCTAATTTTGAACTTTATGAAGTGACCCATTTTTGAGATGGTGCGAATTTCATGTAGTTTCTCAGAAACAACTAGGCTATGCCAAGTTTGTGCCAAAATCTTGTGGCATGTATTCAGACCTAGTTTTATAAGTCACTGTCAGTGTGTTTGAAGTTTCCCATGAAGCTGACTGACTCACATGCTTGCATGCTTTTCCTATTGGTTCTAATTGGTTAAGTGTGCACCTTCATTGAATTTCTAAAGGACTCACAAGACTCTTGAGTTCTTTTTGGTTAAGGCAAGCAGCCTCCTCATCGGATATGAGTTTGAGAGGGAGAGGTTTCAGTCCTTGTGCAGTTATTTCTTGTTGCTATTGAGCTAATCAGGCTCACGGGGAGTAGGCTGTGGGTGTAAGTCTGCCCAGGTATGTTAACAGCTGCCAAAGTATATTTCATTTATAAAACTGTGTAGAATACTCACCAAAAGTGTATGTGAGCTCAAAAGCCAAAACACGGTGTACGTCAAAAAAATTCAGACTTAGAAAACTGTGCGTACGCACACAGCAAGTTCCCTTTATAAATCACAATCAACTTGAAATGTGGCACATGTGAGGGAGCTCCATGTCGACCCTTCAAACGCCCATAGTTGCCTATAAATGGTCAGTGAAACGCCCCTCATTAATATTAATACGTACTGATTGCATGAAGAAAAGGAGGCAAATTCTGACAGAAAAGGTACAAAACGAAATTTAACTCAGTGTGACAATGACGTTCCTTTTGGTGAAGCTGAAGCATGTTGTTTGGTGGGTAAAAAACGCACTTTCACGCAATGCTTGTGCACCGGAGGTAAGGGGGTACCGGAGCACCACTCCTTTTATAAGTGATCTACAGGAAGGGACATCCCTCCTGATTAGTGACGTCGCTGGGGTAAGCTAAGTACTAATTTGGATTTCCCCAGTAAACCAAATGCATTCCGCATTTGTTTAAACATTTATTTAGGCTAAACAATCAGTCCACTCACTTAACAAAGCTGCCGATGAGTTAGAAGAAATATGACTTGTTGAAAATTACAATAAAATAGTGTTATATTTTCCATAACGTGTTTTTACAAACAGCGCATCACATCCATACACTGGCGCACAGCGTTTGGCTCAATAAGGCAAGGAACATGTGATAACAATAGGCTACATGAAACTGTGCACTCCCATTTGCTCGACTAATGCATTGAAAACGGCATCATTTTAAATGTAATTTGTCCTCCTGTTCACATTATTGATGAGAATAAATTGCACTGCATGCAAGTATTAATATGATTCCCGATTAAACTGTACAATACTTCTCCAATTGTGTTTATGATCCTAAATCTGGTTCTTTTTGTGCGCTGCAAATTATCTTAAATTATGTTTTTTGCGCACTTCAGGGAAAATAAATCAAACGGATGTTTGTTTATTCAGAAAGGCTTTAAGCCTATAATACTCAGAGGTAATATTATTACATGTAGTATATGTGAGTCGCAGTTTCTCTTTTCTCCTCTTTATGTGCGTACGCATGGTTCAGAGTTTACTTACCGCACATTCTCCCGTCAAGTTTGTTTTTTATAAATCACAACCTTTGCTTGGGATGTGGCGTACGCACATATCCAGCCCTGTTTTGTATATACGCACCGTTTATAAATGAGGTCCCTGGTAAAGCAAAAGTGAACACACCTGTTGGTGCCAATGTTATTCGGTACCACGGTTCTCTTGATTGTTGTGATAGGCTACGTCATTAACAGCAAACCTCCTCTCTTGAGTGACAGAGAGAGAATGTTCTGTAACCTGGTGTGGATTTGGAGAAAATGTAGTTATGTT